TCCGACCCTGGAATAGCTTCCAAGGAACCTCAAAAGCATTTGCAAGGACAGTTTGCTGGAAACATGGAACATGAAGTTTCTATTACACAATCCATTGTACTTGTGTAACTGCAACAGGACACTTGGAGCAACAGTGTGGGGCTAATTCCACTGCGCCTCTATCAGCGTTTGCTTAGGGAACACCCACAAAGCTGTCTTTCCCCAGTCTAGTGCCTTGCAGATGCCATGCACTACCATGCCCATCATCCCCAGTCAGCACGTTGGCCGTGCTCTCCCTTGGGCACATGCTTTGTATATTCAGATGTAGCAAGCCTAGATCCCATCCTGCTAATCTTGTTGTTTGGAGAAAAGATTTGCGGGGCCACTTTCGAGATCGTTTGCCTTTGGTATGACTGATTTATCTCCTGACTTGGTAATAATTGATTTCCCTCCGAGTTGATGAGATAACTGCCTACCTTTACGTTTGTGTATTGTGGGCCTTCAAGTCATTTCTGACTTATGGTGACACTAAAGTGACCCTATCCTGGGGTTTTCTTGGCAAGATTTGTTCAGAGGAGGTTTGCCATTGCCTTCCCCTGAGGTTGAGAGTGTGTGACTTGCCCAAGGTCACACTGGGTTTCATGGTTGAGTGGGAATCGAACCCTGCTCTCCAGAGTCATAGTCCAATGCTCAAACCATAACAACTCTCCTGTCTCCCTTTATATATCTACTTGAAAAAACATCTACCTCCCCTTTTCACCTACATTTAAAAAGAAAAGCAGGTGGCAATTATGCAGCTTGCTCCAGATATTGCTGGACTGCAACTCCCAGCAGCCCCAGCCAGCACAACTGATGGTGGGGGATGCTGGGAGCTACAATCCAACATCAGGAAGGACATTTCAAAGACCCAGCGATGCTAGTCTGGAATATCAATATGCAAAGGGGGGGGTGTTGTAGTACCTTTGAGATTCATTGAAAGAAAGAAAAAAGTTTGTAGCATAAACTTTTATATATTAAGTCTGCATGGAGTCTACTCTAGTCTTAAAGGTGCTGCAATAACCTTTTGCATCAGAGACAGTTTTCATTCTAAGGTCTACTCTGAGATATTTTAGCAGTCGGCAGAATAGTGAGGATTTTTTGGAGCAATCGCCAAAGTCTTTCTGAATATCCTCCAAAAAATCCTCACTGTTTTGCAGATTGCTAAAATATCTCAGAGTAGAGCTTGGGATTTGTAGCCCAGCAGCATCTGGAGGGAAGCATGATTCCCACTCCTGGCCTGAATCCAATGTTGATCCTGGCTAGACTTACCAAGTAAAATCCCATCTTTTCAATGGGTCTACTCAGTTAAGTACCAATAACCGGATTTAGTCCAGGGTAGGCAACTATTGCGGGTCCAGAGGCCACATGGACTACCAAAAAAATTAAACAAAACCAAGTGATCAGAACTACTGGTTCTCAATAATATTTTTTTAAATGCACAGGGAGATCTGAAAAGGTAAACTGTTGCACTTGGATACTTCCAGGGACATAAGTTCAACCTCTTTTTTTGGCCAGAAGAATATCAATCTGGGGAGCGTCAAGGGGATGAGGATGAGTACACTAAGCACATATTATTATTATTATTATTATTATTATTATTATTATTATTATTATTATTATTATTATTTACAATACAATCCAACATTTACATGTTCCATAGGACACATTTAGCACAGTGTGATCCCAAGGTAAAGAATTCACCCTCCTGCCAAGAAATGGGGAGCTCAACTACTATAATAAGTAGTTGACCTCCCCATCTCTTGGCAAGAGGGCGATTTGTTGGTTTCTTCCCTGCTTTGTGAAAACCAGTAGGTAACCATTCCCATGACAATTCCGTTCAGCATGTAGGCAATCCTGACTGCCAGCGGGTGGCTGGACTCTTGTCTCTTATAACTGGCTCCATCTTTTGCCCAAGAATAATAGGATGCTGAATTGGCTCTTTCTCACTAACACCAGGGCATAAACCCAATAGTTGGTTAGCAAAGGAGGACCCACTCAGTCAATGGGAACCTGGTTAGTCAAAACTAAGGCAAGTTCCATTGACTCAGCAGACTGCCAGAAATAGTGCAAACTGAGTCCACTTTTAGGGTTAGTGTTAGTATTAGGAATCATGGGAATTGTGTTGTTTTTTTTCTGAGACATTGAGCCTTCTCTGTCAGAGAGCTCTGGTGCCACAATAAAATACAGTTCCCATGATTCCCTTACCCTAACCCTAACCCTAAAAGTGGACTCAATTTGCACTATTTCTAGCAGTCTGCAAAGGTTTTCAATGGAGTTATTCTTTGTAGTTAATTGCCATTAAGTTGACTTCAGACTTATGGCAATCTATGAATGAGAGAACTCCAAGTCAACTTGTTCCCAACAGCCCTGTCCTGGTCTTACAAACTCAAGGCTGTAGCTTCCTTGATGGAGTCTATCTACTATCTCTATCTGAAAGACAGAAGTGTTGGAGCACCTTTGAGGCTTGAGAGATCTTGTAGCACGAAAGAAAGAAGTGTTGGAGCACCTTGGAGACAAAACTAAAGAGACAAGTTGGTAGCATGGACTTTCGTAGACTTCAGTCTACTTCCTCAGAGTCTTATGAAAGCTCATGCTGCCAACTTCTTTCTTTAGTTAGTCTCAAAGCTGCCACAAGATCTCTCGACATATGGATTCGACACAGCTATATCTTTGAAAGAAAGAAGTTGACAGTAATGAGCTTTCCTAGATTTAAGTCTACTTCCTCAGATGTATTGGGAGACATGGGGAAATTCTATCAACCTGAGTTATAGTCTAGCCAAGAGTAAAACTGGATCTAGACTCTAGAGACCATTGGGTTTATTGCCTACCTTACTGGAACAAGACAACACAAAAGGGAGAGATGGGGAAATTGGCACTTACTGGGATATCCAACTGCTGAATGCAGCAGATCCATTCCTGGCCCAGCCAAGGTCAACCCATTGACCGCATAATGTGGTTGCTTGATGTAGGACATCATGCTCAGAAGGTTGGTGTCTTTCCCTTGGCTTTGAGCAAGCGCGAGAGGGTCTTGTCCTCTTTGGCTTTAGCTTGACTTTGGGAAGGCAGTCTCCTAGGTGATCCTGGTCCACTCAGCATCCAAGAGCAGCTGGAACTGGAGAGGTCAAAAAAGAGAGAGAGTCCAGTTTGTACCCACCTCCCCAGTCAAGGAAAGGAGGTTGGCCAATGGAAAAACACCTTTAGGGAATGGGTTGGGATGAGATGGAGTGCCCTGGGTCCATCCCACTAACCCTCCCCCTGCATCATAGTCAAAGAGAAGAGGAGAACCTCCTGCAGGGAGTGGTCTTGGCTTAAAATGGCTAAAATGGCATCATACAGAGGGAATGGCATGGCAAAGGGCAGGAAGGCAGCTGGCATTTTAGCAAGTCAAAAGGAGAGGCTAATGGGCATCATTAAGGACAATCATCCCACTTTGGGCTCCTATTGTTATCTAACCAGGCAAGTTAAGTCAATACAGGAGAAGTTTGGGATCTGTGGAGGAAAGCAGGGGGGAAAACACTGGGGAAGATGCTCCCCAGCTCTGTCCTAGGTTGAGGTATTGCAGCTACAAAATGGAAATGCAATGCTCAAAATATACATTTGTTTAAAGCTTTCATCTTTTGCAGAGAAGGCTATTTTCAGGAACATGTTTGGGGCAAACAAGGGCCTTCTCAGTGGTTGCCCCAGGCTCTGGATCTGCCTCCTCTATGGAGGCTAGAATGGTCTCACAGTTGTCCCAACTAGCTTTTGAGAAAAAAAGATTTAAAAGAAAACAAATATTTTAACTTTATTAAAAAAAAAAAAAAACCACAACAACCCATTTTTGTTGAGTCTGTGACCGTGGAATAAATTATTATTATTATTATTATTAATCATATCATCATCATCATCATCATCACCACCATTTTTAATTGCTTGTTTTAAATTTTGTTTTTTAATGTACTGTCATTAGTTTGATTCCATTTTAATATGCTCTTTTGCATCTATATTGTATTTAATCTGTTTTGAAAACAGCCTTGAGTCCTGGTTTTGGGAAAAAGACATGGCATGAGTAAAATTATGACAATGACAACGACAGTGACAATGATAAGATTTTGGAGGAAAACTTCATGGAAACGTATGCAAATTGTAGTGCAGTATAAACTGCAAACCAAAAAGATCTGTTTTAAAACTTCACATTTGCCTCCATGTTCGATTGCTTCTTGTTTGCCTTCAAGCCATTTCTGAATTATGACAACCCCAAGGCAAGCTTATCATGGAGGGGGGCATGACAAGATTTGTTCAGAAGGCTTTTGCCCTTGCCTTCCTCTGAGGCAGAGAGAGTGTGACTTACCCAAAGTCACCCTGTGGGTTTCTGCGGTTTAGTGAGGATTCGAACCCTGGTCTCCCAAATCTACCCCATACCCACTCTCAATCTACAATTAGACCTGCAGCATCTTATCTGTATCAATGCTAATACAGGGCTGTTATAAACAACAGATAACATTTGTTCAGCATCACAAGACAATGGCCAGATTCCCATTGGTTTTTCCCAATCAGAGGAGATCTATTCAATCAACTCTTCTATAATGAGTCCATGAGTCATTGATTCAGTGGAATTTTTCTAGTTAGAAGTAATAGGCCATCTCAAATATATGTATATTTGTATCGGAACACAACCTACTCATCTTGGGAACAGAGAGAAAAATTGAAACCAACGACTTTCCCAATTTTTGTCTGTGTATTTCAAGCTTAATTTGGGCGGACAGTTTAGTTTTGTCACCCAGCGAGAAAGGCAAGCATGTACAGAGTGCCCTTCCCTCACAACCGCTGCATAATAACAGCCCAACCCTACAACCCTAAGATTGTAGAGCAGCTCCAAGATGTTGTATGTGTGTGTGTGTTGCTTGTCTTCAAGTCGTTTCCAACTTATGGCGACTCTATCATGGGGTTTTCTTGCCATGTTTCTTCAGAGGGGGATCCCCAGGTCACCCAGTGGGTTTCCATGACCGAGACAGGATTCGAACCCTGTTCCCCAGAGTCTTAGTCCAGCGCTCAAACCACTATGCTGCACACTCCAAGATACAACACATCAATATTAATCTGTAAGCAGTCTAATACTTCTCAATACAGTCTGGAGTGCAAACTAAGTTGGAACGGCAGAAATTATTTGCAAGCCTCTCCATGCCTTCCTCTGAGTTTTATCTTGCTTTGGAAGAAGTAGTGGGGTGTAGGGCCAGCATTTATTCCTGGAGAGATTCAGAGAAGTGTGGGGAGTGGGCAAAGAAAGAGAGGAAGAGAGGATGTTTTTCCAGCTCCCGCTCTCTACTCTTAGGAAATTTGGGGTGTGGTGAGATAGGGGCAATATTTGCCAACCTCCATCGCATTTTAATATCACTCATTTTGCTTAATAGCTGAGGTTTTATGAGAAGCGCAGCCCATGCAGCACTCATAAATTGTTAACGGATTAACGGCGGTTCCAAAGATGGATGTCTGGCCATGTAGAAATGGGTTGCAACAAGCATTTAATAAAAAGGCAACCTGGATGTATGTGTGTGTGTGTGTGCGTGCGGAGACAGAGAACAAAAAGAGAATGAATTTCTCTGCCTTCCAGTTGAAAAGGAACAATATATTTGGTTAGCATAGGGATGCATAAAGAGTAAATGAATCTGTGAAGCTGAAGGCTTTCGCAACCAGCATCCATAGTTTTTTTTGTGGGCTTTTCGGTCTATCTGGCCATGTTCTGGAAGAATTTATTCCGGATGTTTCGTCTGCGCCTCTGAAGATGCCAGCCACGGATGCAGACAAAATGTCAGGAATAAATTCTTCCCGACCACGGCCACATAGCCCGAAAAACCCACACCAAAACCCAAAACTGCAATAAATGAATCTTCAGTCTTTGGGAAGCATGAAGGAGCTGTAGAAAATAGGTGCATCATCAGCATCAACATGATAATAGTAAAACAACAACAATAGCCTACCCTTTCCCCAGTCTGGGACTTAAAAGTGGCTTGCAAAAACTAAAACAGAGTTAAAAATCAACAATGTGCAAACTTTTAAAAAAAACACAACACAATTAAACTGTCATCAAATCAAAACCAGTTAAAACAAACTAAGAAAAGAGCAACCACAAACAAATGTCTGGCACATTATGCAAGGTCTGTGTCCCTTAAAAAACCTAGTCTTGAAGGCCTACCAGGATAACAATGAGTTTACCTGTGAGCGGAAAGATAGGAAGAGGTATGCCAGTCTAGCCTCTCTGGAAAAGGAGCTCCGGAGCCTGGGAGCATCTGCTGAGAAGGCCCTCTCCCATGTTTCCACCAAATGGACTTGTGAAGGTACTGGGTGGCACATGGAACAAACCCATCTGTGCCCAGCCCCAAAGGGTCACAAGATCCAAGGCTTTCCCAGCCTTGAGCTGGAGATCATGGAAGCAAATGTAATCCTAGATTGCGGGTTTTTTTTATTTATTTTGTCTTATGGCTACTCATGGGGTTGCCATAAGTTGACAGGTGAGTAGCCACACACGTGGTGGCTATTCAAAGACAGCAGTGGTAGCCTTCCAACAGGGTCAATGAAGACTGGCATTGAAATGGGAAGATGGAGAGGGGAGTGCTTAAAGCGATGAGAAGCAGAGAATGAAGAAGAGCAATTAGAGAAGAAGCAATGACCGGGACACTCTTGAAGGGAAAGACGTAGTACTCTGCTCAGGGATGGAGTTACATGGAGGTGTGCTCACCCCAAGTAGGAATTCTGCCTCCCAAATGAAATTTTCCTTTAGTCCCCAAATGTCTAGCACTACAGAATCATAGATACTTGGACGTCTTGACATTGGCTGGGCTGACATTCCCTCTGCCACTTTGCCAGCCCCTGGTCTTTGGATGCCTACATCGTATTTCTAAATGCGCCACTGCAGTTTGAAGTGACTGCGTTGGCAAAAATTGGGGAATTGGAGGAAAATGTCATGCCGGGGGGAATATTATTCAGGGGCAACGCCTGCATTTCCCATAGCTATGCTCTGGTGGTCATCTCTCCTGGTCTTTGTGGGACAAAGAAGATAATGCCATCACTACCCCTTCATTTCTCTGTATCTGCAGACCCTTCCTCTTTCTTCCATAAATTCCATCTTTAGGGGAAAGATTAATTCCATTGAATGGGGAAAATAAAATAATTTGCCACCGGAGATGCTAATTTTGATTGGCAAGGAGAGAGACACAAGCCATGGAAGAGGCTTGGTTAAAGATCTGTTTTGGGAACCACTGGCCTTATCACTGAAACAATCAGAAATCTCAAACCGGGTGCCAAGGTGTCGCCTTAGCACAGTCAAAAAGACAAACAAATGGATCCTTGAGCAAATAAAGCCAGAAATTTCCAGGATGATCAAATTGAGACTTGTCTTACTTTGGTCACATCATGAGAAAGCATGACTCATTGGAACAGACAATAATGCTAGGAAAGATAGAAGGCAACAGAAAGAGAGGAAGACTGCATGGATAGGGTCACCATGAATTGGGGCCGACTCAAAGGCAGTTAATAACAACAACAACATAATCAGAAGGTAGTTGGACTGCAGAGCTGAAAATCTGAGGTTGGATTTAAATAACTTGGATACATCACTCTTGCTTCATTTTCTTCCAGCTGTAAAATGGGAATAACTGGGGCCTGGGTTCCCACTTTCACAGAGTCATTTGAGAAATGGTGGTCCCTGTCTATCCTGAACTTCAGAGAGATCAGCTGAAATGTGCAAAAATATTCAACTTGTTCTTTTTAAAGAAGAAGAAGAAAGAGGAAGGGAGAGATAATACCGCTTCTATCCTTTTTGTCTCCTTCTGATTTTAGCATAATGAAGACAGAGGCGTGAAAAGGTCAGAGTAGCTTAGAATACTTCTCAATATTCGTCGAAGGGCTTTGCTCCATCTTCAAGTTCTCAGGATCCCACTCAGATCTTGGAAATGTTACTGATTCCCCTGACAGCTGGCTAGGGGATTCTGGGGGTTGTTATCCCCTAAAAAAAAAAAAAACAACGACACTCATCTCCAACCTTAGTTCTACTTCACAGCTACATCTTGAGGTCCAAACGTTCCAGCATGATGGATTTGAAAAGAATGAAGATGGGACCTTGAATTTTGCAGCCTAAGCTTGCAATTTCTGGGATGTTGTCATTGTTTTTTTTCCTACTCTTGTTTGGTTTGCTGTCTCTTTTTCTTCCCTCCATCTCCCCCATATCTTCTCCTCACCCCTAGAGTTTTGGTCTTCAACTTGTGGGACTGAAAATGAGATGTAGAAAGGAGAATGGCCTCTTCCTAGGGGAAGAACAAATACGGTCTACAGATAAGGCTTCCTAACAGGTGGCTTAGAAGTTGGCCGAGAACATCTGGCTCCTGAAATAACTTCCTTTCCAATTAAAGGTGTGTGTGTCCCTTGCAAACAAGGCAAGGAAATGGAGAGAGGTCTTTCTCTCTCTTACACACACATATATACAACCAATGTGATAGACTGATGTTTAGTTACTTTTCAACACTTTGGATATATTGCCAGGGGAGAAAACATGAAAGAGCGACCTGGGGCCAAATCTTCCCTTCTTAACTTCATTTTCCTATTCTAGCAGGCATTTACAAACTTTTTTTTTTTTTGCCATTTAAAAAGTTATAGATTTTTTTTACCAATTTAAAAAAGGTGGGGGAAATCTAATAAACAGTATGTAATGTATTAGATGTAATGTAATGTATGTAATGTATTACGGTAGATTACTCATCCATCCTCAGCTCTCTTTTTTTTAATGATCAGGATAAATTGTATACATTTACTCTTCAAAATCTTCTACAGAAATCTTTAGAAATCTACTACTAATTAAATCTCAGGGAAAGGAGGGCGTTTTCCCCCCAATGGGTGAAAAATACTGAATTTCAAAACCACAATCCAGATGGGAAAGGATTGTAAAAATTGGCCTGATTTAACAGTTTGTGGCAGATATGGATTATGCCAGATCAATAACAAGATATTCCAACTCAAATGACTGCTCTTTAAGGTTCTTATGAAGAGTTAATCTAAAATCAGTATCTGCACAGCTATCATCTGAAAATACACTGCAGGGAATCTAGTGTGCCGTAACGTTTAGCTTCGGACCACAGAAACACAATGGCCTAAATCCAATATTAACCTGAACTTGAGTTCCATTAAATCTGAACTCTAACCGAGTTTCATTAAATTTCAACTTTAACCTCAACAAAGAGTTCTATTAAATCTCAATTTTAATCTCAACTAGAGATCCATTAAATCTCAACTCTAGTTTCAATTTGAGTTCCATTAAATCTCTCTAGACTCAGCTCAGGTTCCATTAAATTTCAACTCTAGTATCAACTCGAGTTCCTTTAAATCTCAACTGTAGTCTCAACTAGAATTTAATTAAATCCACAGAATTTACACAAGTGTTTACCAAAACCTAGTTCCCATTCATTCCATGGGTATGTTCTATTTGGGAATAAGAACTAGAATTAGCCCCTTTAATAATAATAAAAAAAATGTTCTCCATCCAGCTGTCTTTAACATTGCTTGCAAAAACACCATTTTGACATCTCGGGTTCGACACCCTTTACCCACATAATTTTTTAAAAATTAATTCAATTCATTTACTTGTTACATGTGTCTCCACTGTTTCCTCCAAGGAGCTCAAGACAGTATTTCCCCCTCTTTCCAAAATCTGAACTTTCTTCTGGGTAGGATCGAGCACAGAGCCATGCAATTTCTATGCACGGCTGTGAAAGTGGGATAGTGGGATAGTGAAAAGAAAGCTGACATGGGGAAAATATCAGCTTATTTGAAATGTAGTGTGCTAAAAAAGAGATCTACAGATTCCATGGATGGCCAAAATGAGAAAGGAATGAGTCTTAGAGCAAATCACGCCTGAACTTTCCCTAGAAGCGAAGACGTCTAAACAGATTCTAGACAGATCATAAGGCAACGTGATTTAAAAAAAGAACAAAAAGGATACTTGGTAAAGTGGAAAGCCTCAGGAAAAAAGGAAGACCACATTACAGATGCATTGATACAACCAAGGAAGCCATAGCTGGGCAGATTT